TAGATGATGATTATGAATATGATTATGATGGAGATGATGATGGAGATGATGATGGAGATGATGATGGAGATGATGATGGAGATGATGATGGAGATGATGATGGAGATGATGATGGAGATGGAGATGATGAGTAACGAATGTGACACAAATGATTGACATGGCGATGAAGGTGAAGACGAAATACAAGGAGATAATCATGTAGATAGAGATAAAGATGAAAGAGATGACACTTCAATACTCACAGAAAGTATTTGAGCGCGTCTGCACTCACAGGGAATACTCCATTAACAATGTCGGCGTCTGCGACCATCTCCAGCCTTCTAAGATTCACATCTCCCCGTCTCGGTCTGATCGGAAGATGAGAAAGTCTTGGAGAGGAGTGCAAACTGCTGTGTGTCAGCATGTGTAAGCAGGAAAGAGGAGTTGGGGAGGGAGGGGAGGAAGGAGAAGAAGAGGGGGGGTTGGTAGGCGGAGGGGGAGAGGGTTTCGAGAGGGGGGGGTTGATTGAGGGATGGATGAGGAGGCAGGAGGGGTCTGTATACCTTCTCTTCGATCAGTCGTGGGAGAGCATCGAAAACTTCCCTTCCGTAGGAGGGATCGGCGACAAGTCGGATCCTGGTGGCCTCTAGGGGACAGAGAGCCGTACTGCCGATCAGCTCAGCCATGGCGGCAGCGAGGAGGAAGGCAACGAGCTTCTGGTCCGTCACTTCTGCTCACAAGCTGTAAGGCGACGCTGAGAACAGGGGAGAGCGAAACGCAACGCGTGTCTGCAATTTATCCCTCCCCCTTCCTCCCTCCCTCTTCCTCCCTCTCTTCACTTCCCTCCCTGACCCCCATTCCCTCCTCCCTTCCTCCTCTCCCTTCCTCCTTCCTTTGCTTTCAAATTTCTGACTTCCTCGCCGTTGTCTCGGACTCTGTTATTCTCTTTCTTCTCTTCCCTTCAAGTTCTCGTCCTCGTCTCTGTCTCTGCCTCACTCGCTACCTCAACCACCATCTCATCCCCCCCACGTTCTCACTCGCAAGGACGACGGGCTTGAAAAGCTCGTAGAACCCGTACTTGAGCGACCCCTGGATCGCATATCCTATCAAGGTGCTACCCAGACCCCCCAGCAACGTCGAAGCTCCTTCGTTCCTGATGATAGTTTTCGTTCCCACTATGAAATTCGAATTTCTCATAGAAGGGTCAGTCTGAAGCCTTGTCTTGACAACTGTAACGGCAGAAGGTTACAATCGTCTCCAGCGATTTGACAAGATTCAACGGTCGGACCGTCTATGGGTACCGTCCCTCCGTGCGAGACTGATGCTGAGATTCCTCCGGCGCTGCGGCGTCAAAAGTCACTTGCTTGTGGGTGCTCGTATGGTGATGGAGCTGATAGTAATGATTCATGGTGATGTTGATGATGATTGAGATGATGATTATGAATATGATGATGATGATGATGATGGAGATGATGATGGAGATGATGATGGAGATGATGATGGAGATGATGATGGAGATGATGATGGAGATGATGATGGAGATGGAGATGATGAGTAACGAATGTGACACAAATGATTGACATGGCGATGAAGGTGAAGATAATCATGTAGATAGAGATAAAGATGAAAGAGATGACACTTCAATACTCACAGAAAGTATTTGAGCGCGTCTGCACTCACAGGGAATACTCCATTAACAATGTCGGCGTCTGCGACCATCTCCAGCCTTCTAAGATTCACATCTCCCCGTCTCGGTCTGATCGGAAGATGAGAAAGTCTTGGAGAGGAGTGCAAACTGCTGTGTGTCAGCATGTGTAAGCAGGAAAGAGGAGTTGGGGAGGGAGGGGAGGAAGGAGAAGAAGAGGGGGGGTTGGTAGGCGGAGGGGGAGAGGGTTGCGAGTGGCAGGGAGGGATAAGATGGATGGAGGAGGCAAGGGGTCTGAGTGACCTGAGCGATCCAAAGCTGCTGAAGCCTGAGACTCCTGTAGTGATTTCAGCAAATCCTCATCATGGGAGGGAATCTTTCACTTCTGACCCTTGTTCATTGCCCAAATTCTCCACATTCTATCCAAACCTCTTTCTTCCTGTATAGTATGATCTCGCTTCACAGAAAGTTTTCGTTTTTACCTCTCTTCGTTTCTTTCCTCCTTCTCTACCCAATCCATCGTTACTTCAGGCTCTATGTCTACCTTACGCCTGTTGTCCCCTATATGTCTTTTGTATCTGTATGATCCTCCGCCGCTGCATTTCACCATTCTCACCCGACCTCCTTACTCTTGCTCTCCCTTCTCTTCTTCATCTGTTTCCTCCTCCTCTCCTCCTCCTCCTCTTACCTGTCGCCATCACCATCACCACCACCAGCAGCTTTCCCTTGCCCAGCATTTCGGCCGCCATCGCCAGGCACTTGCCAAGACCTACCCCTACCCCCTCAATTCTCCTCAGTACAAGTACCCCCTCTGTTGTTGACCGGGTTTGCCTCAGATCATCACTTCGAGCTCGCCTCACTGCTCGATTCAATTTATCTGCGAGGCCTTGACAACAAGATAGGAATCAACCGTTTTGTCAGCAATCGAATCGTTGCGATCTTCTAACGTCGTACGCCTCTCTTTCTGTAGTAATCCGGTCATCTAGGAGTACCCTCTTCACCCCCCCTTTGCAGTTGAAATTTGGGATCATTTGGGGTAGGGGTTCCGCCGGTGGAGACCGATGAAGCTGACATGTACTACGAAAGCCCCGCCCCCCCCTCTAGATAAATAGTCATAGACAACACCGTCTTCATCCTCCACAGCGTCTCCTTGTTCTGTTCCCTCCCTCTACTCCGTTGCTTCAACCTCCCCTTCCTCTCGTCTATCCACCTCTTGTTCACAATTCTGATCTTCTGCTCCTCGTCCTTCTCAGTATCCTGAAAACCTGTGCTCAGCATTCCTTCATAGAACAAGCAGCATGATCGACAACGTGCCCATTCCCATCGATTTCGATATCCACAAGGATGCTCCATCAGTGCAATGTCCCGAAGAACTTAAGATTTCCGGGGAAAACATTGTAGCTGATATCTCTGCTTTGTCTTTTGAACACGACCCTTTTAGCAGAGAAGAGATTCTTGAGTGGCCATTTCCGAATCTGAGGGACTCCTTCAATTCAAGCCAATGTTCCAAAACAAAATCTTCAAAACATGTTTCGATGAGCAGTCCTTCGATGGGCAAACGCCTTCTTCAGTCCTCCTACGACCCCGACGGCGGATACACCACGACGTACGCGAGCTTGCACGACGGGAGGGCAAGGAGGCTGTACAATCAAAGCATCTCAAGGGAGACGATGAAATAGGATGGATAACTGTAGAAGCAGTGAAGTAGTCGAGCAGGGGAGGAAATCTGCGATGTATGATATGGATGTGCGATATGAATGATCTAGTAAGAAAAGTAAAGGACTCGCAAACTTCAAACAACATGTAATCACAACCAGCACATCTCATATCGCTTGATTTTTACTCAAATTATGGCATTTTGAAGACACCTTCACGAGGCGGGCTTGTTTTCTCTCCAGTTGTAGTCATGAAGCGGGTTTCCTCGGTTATCTCCAGATCAGTCGGTAGTAAACATTCTTATCGTATCACTCATCATCAACTAGATACACCTCTCGGCAACCCCGTCGACCACCCTCTGGCCGCCCATTCTGAGTTCTCACTTCACGTCGTTTCAGTGGTGACTTTCTCAGTCAAGAGAAGTGAGAGAAATTCTCGAGTCTCATCAAGTCTCAAGGGAAAGAGAAGCGGAGGCTCTGCCATAACTTGACAAGGCGGGATCAGTACCGTGGTGCACGTTCTCTATTTTAGCGTGAGTGTTTTTAAAGTTAACTCGCTCATCTCGTCGAAGAAAAAAAACAGTCAAAGATTCGGCTGACGGTCAATTGGTCAGTCGTCGGAACATAAAACATTTAAGCCAGGTGGAGCCCAGGAAGCGAAGAAGCGAAGAAGCGAAGAAGCGAAGAAGCGAAGAAGCGAAGAAGCGAAGAAGCGAAGAAGCGAAGAAGCGAAGAAGCGAAGAAGCGAAGAAGCTAAGAAGCGAAGAAGCGAAGAAGCGTAGAAGCGAAGAAGCGAAGAAGCGAAGAAGCGAAGAAGCGAAGAAGCGAAGAAGCGAAGAAGCGAAGAAGCGAAGAAGCGAAGAAGCGAAGAAGCGAAGAAGCGAAGAAGCGAAGAAGCGAAGAAGCGAAGAAGCGAAGAAGCGAAGAAGCTAAGAAGCGAAGAAGCTAGAAGCGAAGAAGCGAAGAAGCGAAGAAGCGAAGAAGCGAAGAAGCGAAGAAGCGAAGAAGCGAAGAAGCGAAGAAGCGAAGAAGCGAAGAAGCGAAGAAGCGAAGAAGCGAAGAAGCGAAGAAGCGAAGAAGCGAAGAAGCGAAGAAGCGAAGAAGCGAAGAAGCGAAGAAGCGAAGAAGCGAAGAAGCGAAGAAGCGAAGAAGCGAAGAAGCGAAGAAGCGAAGAAGCGAAGAAGCGAAGAAGCGAAGAAGCGAAGAAGATCGAAGAAATTTCGAAGGCTCGATACTGCATATAACCGATCCACTGAGAAGATGATCGAAACCAGCAATCCCTCCGCGTCCGAAATAATCATCGACCACCCATTACGGTCGCCTTCAAAGCAATCCTCCTCCTCAGACATCTACAGTCTGTCTACGAGCGGCTCAATCAAGCCTGCTGCTAGTCGCAGCATCCTCGATCTTGTACGCACTCATTCAAGCCTTTACCCTGTGCAAGACGACTGCTCTGCCAGTAGCCTTGAGGACTCCTTCAACTCCCCCCGTAGCCCCAGAATAGGCAAACGCCTTCTTCAGTCCTCCTACGACCCCGACGGCGGATACACCACGACGTACGCGAGCTTGCACGACGGGAGGGCGAGGAGGCTGTACAATCAAAGCATCTCAAGGGAGACGATGAAATAGACGGGGACGAAAAGGCGGAGCCGATGAAATGTAAATAAACCCAGCCATTTGAGCCTTTTCTCCGCAATCCTTGATCCTGCGTGACCTGTCTATATACGCATCAAATTTCGCACACCTGGACCTTGAATTCTTACAATCTTCTTGTTCCCTTCTCCTTAGACCCCTTCCCTCCCTCGCCAAGTTGTACAGCCACCGTCGGCTCGCATTGGCTCACATTGGTGTGACTGGCAGCGGTGCTTAGGATTTTTGCACTTGTAACTTGATGGTGCATTCTTCTCCTTGGATCAGACTCCCCTGTGTTCAATCCGTGACTGCCATTGCGCAACCAAATCGGATGATGCATGACAGATGGGTGCCCGTGCGCGTCAAAGTTGTCACAATGCTGTCGTCAAGATCACCGCCCTGATCATCCGCCCTGATCATCCGCTGATTGATTCACTGAGTTCCACTGGGCCGAGTCGGAGCACATTCAGTGCCAACCTCTTTTACTTAAAATCAGTACTACGTGTGTGCTGAGTTACATTTTACTCAAAGCCGAGGGTGAGTTATGCAGTTAACTGTGGTCACGGCGCTGGGACTCCCCGTCTTTTACGCAAAGTTAAGTTAAAAATCAGTACGAGGACAAACACAACTCAGCTTCGGCTACAAGTAAAATCCTCAGGGCCTCGAGCTATCATCGTTGTTCTATTCGTGAGTGGCCCATGACTCTGGCCGGCCCTCCGGCGTCACGGCCCGTCGGGCGACTTCTTGAGATGACGAGTAGGGAAACGCTCACATCCTTCAAAATACTCTTCAAGGGCCCTAACCTCGCGCCTGTTCATCAGTGGACTTTACCTCGGAAGGCTCCAAGCTCCCGGCCTATCAGAGTCTGCACGAACGGACTTATCTTGTCGCTGACACTACCCCCACCCCCTTCGTGAACGTTATACACACCGGTCCGATCTGTTCGGATGACCAGATTGTTGCCCAATTCATCGTACCACGAGAAATTAAGTCCTCCCTCACTTCCTGACTTCTACACTTGTTCTCTTGAGCTCACAGACACTCTCAAGAGCACGAAACGATCAGAGATCTTCCATCGCTAGCAAACGAGACCTCACACAGCTATCACTCGTACACTTTGATTGCCATCGGTTTCAAGTTTGATCCCTCACTCTGCAAATCCATTTCCAATGACTAAAGGCGATTGTTGTACTCTCCCTCCCTCTCCCGCCCACATGGACATGCCCTCGCTGAATCCTTGCGTTCACGGCATCGGCGCTACCTTCCACTGCAACGTCTCCCAGGCTTGCGTGGGGAGGAGGCTTCTTCAGTCATCCCTCGAGCGAGAGGACGGAAGCTGGACCACGATCTACACGAGCAGCTACGAGCCGACGGCGAGGAGGCTGTACAACCAGAGCATCTCGTGGGACATCATGAACTGAGCTGCAGGGATAGAGAGGAGGGCGGAAGCTGGCGAGAAGGGGAGGGGAGGGGAGGGAGTTTAAGGGAGGAACAAGGAGGCAGGCTGTAAATAAGTGTACACTGGTTGTAAATAGTAAAGCAAAGATACAAGAAGAATACTCGAACAAAACAAACAAAATGTAAGAGGAATGGACCCTCCAGATAGCCTTCTCAGTGTAGAGGTTGATGAGTTGTTGTTGAAAAGTTATTGATTAGCATCTTTACGGCTCGGTGTAGTAGTAGTTGAGTTTATTAGTGAATTGGACGTTGTACACTCGAAGGGACTCATTTCAGAACCTGAGCAACACAATGCAGTGCACTCTGAGGACTCCTTAGAGGCTGGAGATTCCCTGCGTCCTACCAGATGGCATCTTCAGCAGCCGCACGTCCACAAGATTGCGATGATTCTCTTGGGAGGAGCATCTTTAGTTTTCGTAATGGGGTATCCTGACAGGATACCCCATTAGACTGCAAGAAGTCCAAAGTGTATGCTTCAACGCATCAAAGCCTTTAATATTACAGTTGTACACTATATCAACAAACAGCATCACACTATCCATAACATCGTCCCTAAATTCTTCCACTGTTGTCTTGCTTGTGCGATCGATTCTGTTGTTCAGCTTGCCGTTGTCCTCGAGATGCTTTGGTTGTACATCCTCCTCGCCGTTGGATCATACCAGCTTGCAGATATCACCGTCCAGCTTCCGTCCGCCTCGATCGATGACTGAAGCAGCCTCTTCCCAATCCTCGAGATGCTGCGAGGGAGGTTGAAGGATTCTTCCAAGCTGGCTTCAGGCCAGTCCTCTTGCTGCTCATCGAAGTTTGAGCGCATGATGCCTGTTTCTAAGATGCTGCCTTGATCAGCAGCGGGCTTGCGTGGGATCGCGTCGATTCCGTGAAAGCAAGGAATAGTGGACGGCGACATTTCGACGTGGGAGGGGAACGGAGAAAAAGTGCAGCTGCAGTCGTCCTTGGTCATGGTTTGCTGGCTTTATCTATGACTTGAATTCTTGTGCGGTTGTGTGATTCAATCCATACAGTCACAATAAAAAAGGATGGTACTTTGGCACGATCTGTACGCGAGACGGGTTGTGGGGATGGGGAGGGGGAGGGGGAGGGGGGGAGGGATTGCTGAGAGAGAATGTAGGAAGAAAAGTATGAGAGGAAGGGAGCCTGGGAGGAGGGACAGCGACCGAGAGTGAGACTGGGAAGCTACAGAGAGGGGGCGAGTGACGGAATCGAGCCAACAGTGCGATTTTGTAGCTTTGGGGGAGGGGGGGGGTTCGTTGATTAAAAGGGGTGCCTGGTCCATGGGGGTAGGGCAGGAGGATGGTATGGAGCAAGGATGTGAGAATGGTGAATGAGCTAACTTAGGAAATCGTTGAGGTAGAGGACGGTTGAGATGCGGCTATAGACCGATCCGGGAGCTGCCCAAAGAGTGTCAGATTAACTTTACTTTGAGTAAACGTCAGAGTCTCTGGGAGAGGGGTGGGGGGAGGGGGTGGGTGGGGGTAGGGGTCCGTCAGTCAACCTCCGAGGCTCCGAGCACGGTCAAACATTTACTCCGACTCAAAGTTGAGTTAAAAGCAGTATGGTACTATTGAGTCATGGCCGCTCAGCGGCTGGCCAACTTCAAGTCTTTGGCTGACTCAGTTCGTTTGTTTGACGGTCACGGTGCTGACTTTTACTCAAGGTCGTTGAAGAGCCTCAGTGATTCACTTCATTCAAAGCTATCAGGGTCCGAGGCTAGTGAGAATCATTCGACGTTCGTGCTAGGATCGGATGGACTCAGTGATCGGACAGTGATCGGACCTCTGTCACAGATGGGATGGTGAGATTGATCAGCTGAGTTGTCACAGGGGTTAAGGGAAGGGCGAACTTAAAAAAGGGCTCACCCTTCCTCCCCCCTGCAGGCTCACCCTTCCTCCCCCCCTGCGGGCGCCCGGCTGCAGGGGGGGAGGAAGGGTGAGGGCCCTCCGGGCCCTCACCGGTACCGCACACCAGACGGCATGTTTGCGCTGATCCTGACGCGAGACATGGCGCGAGCGAGGACAGAGAGCTCCGCGGGGCCATGGGCGCCAGCGATCTTGCTGCAAGGAGTGCGGGGGAGCCAGCATCCATGGGCGGAGACGATCTGCATCCATGGGCGGAGACGATCCCGATGCAAGGACTGCAGGCTGTCTCCCGCTGCAAGCTCCCCCGCCTGCCTCGGCCCCCAGCCCCCGCCAGACGTCGCCCAGATGCTCTCTGCCGGCACCGACCTCGCCGCTCTCTTCGCCGGGAGTGCAGGAGAGATAGTGCTCTGCCAGCACGCCCAGCAGCGATCGCAATGCTTCGAGTGTAGGTCGATCGGACGCCCGGCCCCGGCTCGTCAGTCCCGACCGTCCCGTAGAGAGAGTCGGTAGGACTCTAGACCAGGGCTTGTACATGAAGAGCACGCGAAAGACAGACATCTGCACCATGCTCACCCAGCCTCTAGCGCAAGAGTACGCTTGCTTGCCGCCTACAAGGCTTGTAGACGTCGTCGCGAGAAGCTCGTCATGGGCAAGGGCCTACACGGACGGGCTGCCTCGCAAGCTCAAGGGCGCTCTCGGCAAAGCATTTCCAGCCCAACGACGACAGCCCCCGGCAGTCTGAGAGCGACTGGGCGAGGGAGACGGAGACGGAGACGGAGACGGAGAGGAGATGGAAAGGCCTCAAGCCTCTGTCGGCTACTCTACCGCCAGGGTCCGAGAAGTCTAAGCTACTGCCGAGATCAGATCCCAAGCCGGTGTCTGCCTTTCTGAAACCTCCCCCTCGTCCCGGCCTCAAGCATGTCCAAGGCAGGAAGAGCGCGAAGACTCTGCCGCCGCCTGTCTCTTGCATATCACCTGCCAAGGGTCTGAGCAAAGGCTCGACTAAGGCGCAGCAGGAGGCTGGTAGGGAGACGAGAGCTGGACGGAAGGAGGCAGGAGGGAGCACAAGCAAGGTGTCACGGGAAGGGGATGGGTCGAGCGAGAGCTGCCGTGCGTTTAGTCATCCCTACACCGCAGACAGCTCCGCTATCGACACTAGTCGTGGGGCCATCTCTACACCGCAGACAGCTCCGTGGGCGAGCTTGCGGGGTTGTTAGCCCTAGCTTTCCCACAGAACTTGATGTTGTGTTACAGAACAGAAATTCGTGAAGTGGTTGAGACATTGTATTGGAAAGACACACGGACAGACCTAGGCACGCGGAAATGGTTTTGTTTATATTCGTACATTACGTACTACAGGTATCGGGGAATGACGTGAACAATCAATTTGAGTCAACTGTGACTGACAGCACAGTCGGGAGCTATGCGGCGATGTTAATGAGAAACTCGTGAACTGAGGGACTGAAAGCTTGGTATCAATAAAAATGACAAAAGAGACGACGCGGACAGATAGGTTGGGAAAGGTGGATGGTTACGAGAGAGCCCACGACCAACCAAATCTCATAGTTGCAAGCAGAACCTGTGGAAAGTGGGAGAGAGACTCGGAAGAAACCATCATGAATGCCAAGGAAGAAGGCGAGGGAGGGGAGAGTTAGAGACATGAAACCTACCACAGGAGAGAAAGAAAATGAATGAGGGATGGTTAGAGTGAGATCAAGCAAGAGAGGAGGCAGGGGGGGGTTTATAGACACATTTATCGAACATGCATGGTTTGGGTACCTTGCGTACTGACAGCCCACGGGTACCACAAACGTTCATCTTCCCTCCGTCCCTACCCCAGCACATTTGTCTACCCCCTGGGGATAATGCAGACAGGCACGTTCGAACTTGAAGGCATGCGAGCACCGGCGGGAGTCCACGAGCAGACTCGCACACTCGCCTAGATCGAGCTCTTGCTGCTTCTGAGCTTCTGCTCCTCTTCGTACCAGGAGTTAGGGAAGCCACCCGTACGTAATAAGGGGTCACACTGCAGACTCATCTAGCCTTTACATGCTTCTCGTCCTTTGATATTCCTTTGCCAGCATAGCACACTAGAGTGATGTCCCTTACAACCGCTGCCAGGTAAGACAAGGGTTCTCGATGAGCCTTCCGATATGATCTTCATATCTCTGTTTTACTATTCACACTAATGTACACTTCCTTCGTCCTCCTCCTTAGACCCCTCCCCTCCCCTTCTCGCCAGCTTCCGCCCTCCTCTCTATCCCTGCAGCTCAGTTCATGATGTCCCACGAGATGCTCTGGTTGTACAGCCTCCTCGCCGTCGGCTCGTAGCTGCTCGTGTAGATCGTGGTCCAGCTTCCGTCCTCTCGCTCGAGGGATGACTGAAGAAGCCTCCTCCCCACGCGAGTCTTGGAGCCGCTACCTTCATCAGCAGAAGACTTGCGTGAGGTAGAATCGATGTCGTGAAGCCAAGAAGAAGCCAGCGAGGGCACGGGAGAGGGAGGAAGAGCACAGCAATCGCCCTTAGTCATAGTTACTTGTGTGTTCTGAGGTTTGTCACGAAGGATAGGGTGGTAGATGCTCAAATGTAGGATCAAGAGCGGAAGTAAGAGAGTGGTTTGGATGTAGGGATAGAGGAAGAGGGGAGGGAGGGAGGGAGGGAGGGAGGGAGGGAGGGGGAAAGTGACTGCAGTTGGCGAGCTTTGATCCTAATAAGGGGAACATCTTATCTTCCTAGATCTGAGGAGGGAGGGGGAGGGGGTAGTACGAAGAGGTGTAGGCAGACCGGAGAGGGGTGGTAAGAGACGCTCGAGGGGGTAGAGAAAAGATTTCAGGAGTTCAACCGTTTTGTTCGGCTAACATGGGGGTAGGGTGGTGTCAGCTACAAGATTGGTACCTCCCGACTCGCACCAGGTTGACTAGTCTGTACCCAAGGTTTAGTCCAACTTTACTCAAAGGTAAGTTAAAGTTCAGTACGAGGACAATCAGGAGAGTCGAAGGTTTAGTAATGATATTGTTGAAATCCCTACAAACCTCCTTCAGTACGGACGGTACCAGTGACTTATCTCTACGACTCTGGCGGGGAGCGTAGGCTAAACCTCAAGCAGCTGTCGAGAGGACTTACTTTACAAGCCTGACACCCAGTCTTCTAGGAGCAAACGGAGGCTTTACACACATGCCGACGGTCCGTCACGGCACAATCGCCGGCACGACGGCGTTACTTTAACCTTACCGCTCAACTGACAGACTTGTGCAGCGGCTGAGCTCTCATAGCACTGTATTACTATGACTCGTAGCTGAGGTGGCGGGCGGCGCCGGTCACATGGCTCCCTTATCTTTTGCTGACGTGAGCCGTCGGACCCCAACTCGAGATAAGGTTGAATTCAACGCCATTCGATGTACATCGGGCGCCACCGTCAGGAGTGGTCCGTACGCTGGTCATTGTGCCGTGACTCACTGTACTCAGTGACTCGGACCGTCCGACGAATCACACTCCTCTTTACTCAAAGAATCATGGCGCTGAGCCTCCCAGTCCGGGAGCGGCCCCCCCGGTTGATCGGACCGTTCGCGAGCCGGGCAGCCCCGGCGGCCCGCGGTGGCAGCTGGCCCCCAGCCGACCGTATCGGACGCCGGGCCCGGGCGGCAACCGGGCCTCCTGACTGAGAGTAGTGAGGGCCGCCCGGCGGGTCACTAGTTCCTTCTGGCAGTTAGGAGCCGCAGGTTCAGGGTTGTACTACCGGGTGAAGAGAGCAGTAGAAAGAGACCCTGGTGGTGTGCCAGGGTTTGGTGCATGCAGGGGCAAGAGTTGCGGCGGGTAGGAACGACAGAGAGAGAGGAAGGAAGAGGGCAGGTTCAAGTCATCTGATGATGGAAGAAAGAAGGGAGATACTTGCAAGAATGTTGTTCAGAGATGCACGTGTCATCTGTGATGAGTATGAAATGAGCCACCAATGATGGTGGAGATGGAGGAGGAGAGATAGAAACATATGAATCAAGCCTCACATCTGTGATCTACCCTGCCTCACGTTGAGAGAATAGTAGATTCTGTAGACTTGAATAGCGTTTAGCTTCAGCCTCTCGGGTACGAGCTTGATTAAAAGGTGATGCACAGTTCTACCACTGATACTTCACTGCCAGCATTAAACCATGGAATTGAAGCTTCAAGCTACCCCAAGAGGATCTGCAAGCTCTCACAGCAGCAGGAGGAGGTGAAGAATGTTCAAACCAGTCGAGCTGTGTCTCATTTCATTCTGCTTCACAGAAATCAGGTTGGAGTGACCAACCGTCCGTCGACCAGCCACGTGGCTCAGTCGCAGTCTCGTGAAGGGTCGGATCGTACCTCTGACTCCAACGTGGAGAGAAAAATGCAGAACAGGGTGAGTTGTCACGGTCAACCTTGACGCGTCAAGAAACAGTGCATATGGCGTATATGACCATCTTGTGGATGCAGATACGGGATAAGGTGTCAAGATGCAGCGCTGACGTCAACCTAGAACTTCAGAGAGCATCCAACGATGGCGTGTTGAGCTATGAAACCATGAGAACGGTGAAGACCTCGGCGCTTGTTCCTCGTTGCCTCACGTGCCTGGCAGATTTTGCACAGGCTGAATGTTCCTCTAGCAGACGAAGAGTTCAATTATCTCAAATCTTTGTCACACAACGAACATGGCGATACACGGCTCGAAAAGGTTATGAACACAATCAGGACGCCTGATTTTGATGATTACAGACCTTTCAGAAAGTCCTTCGAGAGGTGCACATGATCTGTGTATGATGTGATGCGATGACAGGTTTTGCAGAGAGAAAGTATTCCTCACGCAACTAGCCAGGAAAGAGCTGAAGCCAGTGAATCGGAGGGAGCTTTCCCTAGATGTTCACCGAGCTGTACATCACTCTCCTTCAGTCTCTTCGCACAGGTTGATCGAAGCGATGATGTTTGTGTTTCGCTCATCTCATTGCTGGGTAGAACATCAAACTCGCTGTCATCGTTGGACGGCAACCAGGCTGACCCTTCGTCGTCCAAGACCCTTCTGGCCTTCGTGAACAAGTTGAAGAGAAGAGGCTAGTTTGTTTCTCGGTTGCTCTTCATCAGCTCACACTCCCTCCTCAGGCCTTTCTCTACTTGATATGTTCAAGAACATCGATAAGGATGGATCGGGCGTTATAGACAAATCCGAGGTTGACCCATTCCTGCAACATGTGGTATTGAACATTCATGTCAGTTTCTTAAAGCACTGGAAGTCTTGGAGAAGAAAGGTTTCACAAAAGATGAGGTGCGGACGTTATGTATCCGCGAGCAGGAGCTCAGAATCGATGACAGATTGAAAATCTCTGGTTCGAGATAGACGCCGACGACAGCAACTCGATCAACTACCTTGAGTTCATTCGAGCGATCAAATCAGAAACGAAAGGAGAAATGAGCCTGCTGCAGACAGACAGACAGCATGGCGTACAAGGGAAGCACTTCCAGACGGTCTCTTTCCCTGCTCACGTGTACCAGCCCCCCCACTAACGCTTTACCCAGACTTTGAACGCTACCCGGACCCCGATCTTGTAACCCCCCCCCAGCGACTTCAGCACTCCTGGCTGATCCTGACTGCTTGCCCAGGCCGAGAGATCACTACAATGTCAAGTTCTGTAGGACTGCAGGACCTCCGTCCTACTCCACGTATGAGACGGTGGGGCGCTACCCGTCGCTTGCTCGCTCTGATCGCAAACTAGATTGTACCCGTGCACACGTCACCGCATTACTGCCCTGACTGGAAGAGATACGTGACGGTGTCGCTGCGAAACTCGATGCCGGTCGACGAGCACATTGAGATCGAGAAGAGGAAGACGAGGAAGGTACGGCTGACCCTCGACCCCTTCTTCCTCCTCCTTGCGCTGACGACGCGGCCATGTTGGTAGATGATGAACCTGAGCAGAAGACAGGAGCTTCGAGAGCAGATGAGGAACTTCGTCGAGTCGGAGGAGAGGTTCTATCACAACGGCTACATGAAGCGCCTCCAGGGGCTTGCAAGGACGCGGGTTGGCTACCTTGACCGCATGTTCGGCAACCTCGACCAACTGGGCTATTGAGTAAAATGATAAACCCCGAGACACAAAATTGCATGGGAGGCAGGCAGGGAGGG